TATATTTTAATTATATTTTAATTATATTCTTATTATATAGTAAATATATTTAGCAAAATCAAAGGTTTCTGCAAAGACAGTAAGTCATGATAATTCCAATGCAACCAACTCAACCTTAACCACGTATTATGATGACTGGAATAGCGGGTAAGTTCTTTAACAGAAATTTTTATGCAAAACTCATAATAATTTTAATGCTAACTCAAATTTAACCACTGTGATACTGTATTAGCGAGTAAATTCCGAATCAAAATAGAAATAATTTCTAATGCAAAGAACTTAACCCTAACTACATACTGTAGTTTCAGAATAGCGTGTAAGTTATATAATAATTTTTTATACCAGATTAGAGAAAAATCATGATATTACTAACTCAACAACTGTATATACCACATTAGTAAATTCTGTGCCAGAATTCTTAATGGTGAATCATGATAATTTCAATGTAACTTATTCAAATTTAACTATATATTGTGTATGCTACAATAGCTAATAAATTATGAAAAAGAATTTCAAGCATAATACAATTAAAAGAATCATAAATAAGATGTGTGGCGCATTCGCGCCACACATCGCACTAATAATTATTTATACTGTAACTGATATTAGGACCGACGGTCCTTTCGGTCCGTCCCAAAAAAGACAGGACCGGCCCGGCGGTCCATCGAGACTATTCATAAATTTGATTTACGTACGGCATGGTGCATCGAACACCCTAACTTCACATGCACTTTGATCGGCCTGATATAATTATTTAATATATATACTGTATGGATGATGAATATTCTATAAATGTACTTTTATCCAACAACGTGAGATTGATTTAGAAAATCTTCTCTTATTTCGAAATAACGCACATGGGCGTATTCAAAATAAGGGGTCCGTATTATTTCACCGACAATCACTTCATAGACACCCCATTTCACCGACGATTACTCACTGACAAGTTAATTTTACCGACAGTTTATTTCACCGAAGCTCATTTCACCGATAAGTTTCTTTTATAAATTAAACTAACTTTAATTCTAATTCTAACCTGACCCTAATGACATTGACCAGAATTACTTTGTATGTAAAATGAGCTTCGATGAACTAAACTGTCGGTATGTAATTGCTAGTAAATGTGGTGTCTACGAAGTGATTGTCGGTGAGTTGATCGGATCCCCAGCGAATAGTGTGGTGGATTATGCTGAAATTCCGGCCCGAATTATAAAAAATTTTGGGTCGGTTGCCTGGATTATGATTTTATTAGTTAATATGAGGTTTTTTGAATTTTGGTCCAATTCCATAAAATATATAGTCCAATTTTTTTGGTTAGGGTTTAGAACCCTGTTAGGGTTAGGAAAAAGAGGGTTTTATTTTTAGTTAAATGTTTTTTTCATATAGCTTATATAACATTTCAGCATGATCCAAAATCCCACGCAATTAGCGAATGTGGGCGTTATTATAAGAGAAATTTTACATGCGGGGGAAGACAAAAGAAAAAAAAACTTTCCTAATCTAAGCCCGCAAACCAGAGCACGCCACTTTTTGGCTTTACTTGGCTCTCTGTTTACAAACAGATGGGCTTTTCAATGGGCTTACTCCCTGCTGCCACATCTCTTTTTACCGTGGTTTTGGGGCTTTGTGGGAACGATTTCTCCACGATTCTTCACGATTTTTGATTCGTGATTTTTGTCACGTTTTCGGACCCCGTGACGTCGATTCGGAACGGCGGTTTTGCTACTAACAATATGTACCCCTAGTTCGTTTTAGTATCCTGGGTACATGTGTGGGGGATATAATGTATGGATATGAATATGTTTTGAATTTATTAGAGAAGCCTTAAGAATATACGAATCGCGAGACGATGATCTAGTTTCTATATGGAAGCTTTTACAAGTGTTAGAAAACATAGAACCCCTATGTCAGTTTATTGAAAAAACCCTATTGAAACCACTAAAGGACAACAGCATCGTATACTCAAACGAGGAAGCTTTAAAACAAGCATTCATGGATGCCATGATTCTCACCCTCCGCTCTGACATCGAGCCTGAATTCCTTGTATATTCCCAAAGCTCTGATTTATGTGGAAAAGCATGATTCACTTCTGTATAGGGTTCAATATGCCAAGTTGGGTATTAAATGCAGAATAATATCCAAAAGGCAGAAAGCGATAGGCTATGCATGGGAGTACTAACATTCAGCAATAGAAAACGAATCGCTATTGGATTCGATAACATTAAAATGGAGAAATTTTTATTAGATGGAGCTAGAGGATGCTATCAAAGTATCCAGATCGTTGTTAGAAAAATCAGAAGATGTAGTCTTGGAACTGAAAATCGATGACCAGTACCAAAAAGGGCAAAAAACGATTGCAAAAGCTTTAGAGTATAATATTAATAAAAAAAAGGATATCTTGGACCTTTAAGCAAAAGAAACGATGCAGATTTAAAAAACGTGTTTGTTGATTTAAGAGTAGGATTACATCGATTAATCAGTATAAGAATCTATTGTAATAATGATATCTGATTTGTTGATATGTGGTTTACCTTCGTGCCGTGATTCGAGAAATAAAAATCAAGACTTTACACTGATAATCTCACAAATATATAATAAATTACAGCTAATTCAAAATTCGTGGACCACCCTAAGAATTTATCTATCATGTTTTCCCGGGTATAAAAACATGATGGTATCATACTTAGGTATCCGGGTATAAGTCAAAAATTAGCTGTCAAAATCGTTACATGGTACATTGTACATGTTGGGTAAATACGGTACAATCAAGGGTCAAAATTTATCATAATAAGATTGCAAATTTTTAGCATATAAATGTAATTATCTTTTAATATTTAAACATATTACTTTTAATCAGTTTTGCATTTATTCTATTAGCGCTTTTCATGTAAAAATTATAACCACTTTTCTAATTTTTAAATGTAAATTAACTTTCTCTACGAATAAAAATACGCCTTTTCGGTTCTAAATATCTTCGATTAATGTATAGTACATCAGCAAAGTTATTTTTTATAAAATTTACATAGCGATATGCTAAGTAAAAATGTTCAGCATACTAGAAAACCTTCCCAAACCCCTAATTTAAGCTTTAGAATCTAATTTTAGCTTTAATAGTTAAGTTGAAAATTTTTTTGTTATTTTAATAATTTTACGTAGAAATAGATATATATTTATATAAATAGCTATGTAAATCTACATTGTGTTTATAAAGCTACATAAAAATTTTACATAACTCTACATAAAAA